TATTATGCAAATTGGACTATGGAAGACTAACCTCTTTCTTTGTGGAGATTGCTGTTAATTAAGAAATCATTGACTAATCTTCTAATTTACTATGTCCCTTTTTCAATTGCTGAATGATGTTGTAAGGAAGTTAGAAAAGCTTATGAGATGATTCTTGTGGGGCGGAATGATAAGAAGAAATTTAATTTGGTGAGTTAGAAAAATGTGTATACTCTTATAAGTGATGGGGGGTCTATGGGAGTAAGAGGTTAAAGATGATGAGATATGTGATACTGAAAAAGGCCAACTACGGAGACAAATTTTAGGTAAAGAATATAGGGAGGATAAGAAATATGGAATTGTTACTAAAGGAAGAAATAAGAATGGATTTTCTTTGATTTGGAGAGGAATTTCTTCTCATATAGGTCTTTTCTTGAGACACATGAGATCTCTTGTTGGTAGTGGGAAGCAGGTTAGATTTAGCAGTAAATATAGATAGAGGAGACGACGTTAAAAATTCAGTTTCCTAATCTATTTGCAAAAGTGAGTTCAAATAGCAAGATAGTGAATGAGATGGTAGGGAGTAAAGGTTTTAATATAGCATGGGATATAAAGTGTTCATACAGAAGAATTGATGAGATTATTGATGAAGAATATGTGCAGTGCATGGGAGGTGCTACAACGTTACTGTTGCCCAGAATTGGAAGAAAACATTATATGAGAGCTTGAGTGAAAAATGAACTTTCATTGTGGGGTCTGCTTATAAGCTATTGTTTTATGATCATAACAGGTGGAGAGATCCTACTATGTCAAGGATATGGAGACTGCCATTACCTTGAAAGTAAGGGTTTTTGTATGGCTATTGGTTTTGAACAAGATTTTAACAGTTGATCTATTGATAAAAAGAGGTAAAATCTTGCCAAATATATGTTTAATGTGTAAATAGGATGAAAAAATAATATAGATCATTTGTCCTTTCAATGTATTTTTGCAAGGAAAGTGTGGCAATGGTGTTTTGATTGATTGGGTACACAATCTCCCATTTCTATACAGGCTAATGGGATTTTTTTCTCAATGGATGCTCGAAGATGTTGACAAAAAAAGAAGAGTCATATGGAATATTACAAAAGCAGCAGTGTTATTGTAATTGTGGAAGGAGAGAAATAGAAGGTGTCTTGAAGGGTTAAGAAGATGAGAGACGAATTATTTGAGAAGATAAGAGTAATATGGTTATTTGTTATAGAGGATTGGTGGGGTGTTTCTTGTGTTGATCTAATGTACAATGTGGATGTTTTAATCAGGTCCAGATCTGTGAAAGTGATACGGGTGGGACTCGACGAGGCACCTCTAAAAGGCCGGATTAAACTAAATTTTAATGGGAGCTCGCATGGGAGTTCTGGACTAGTAGAGATAGGTGGTATTATTAGAGACTACAGTGGTATGGTGATAAAAAAATATTATGGTTTGGTGGGGGTGACTATGGCAAATGAGGCAGAGCTCAGATATGTTCTTCAAGGCATAAAGTCGGCTAAGGAAATCAATAAGTGGGTCGTAGTGGAAGGAGATTTAATGAACGTAATTAGATGGATCAATGAGGAGGTGGAGTTACCATGATCTTTGAGTGGATTATTGAGAGAACTGAGGGACGGGTGTATTGGTATGGAATGCATTTTTGTTCATGCATATAGAGAGAAGAATATAGAAGCTGACGCTTTTGTGAAGATGGGTATTACTGCAAAAGGTTTAATTATTTTATGTATCTTATTGATTTCTTTTTTTGTTTCTTTTTTTTAATGTAATCCCCAATTGGCAATTGTATTGTTGTAAGATGCAATTTAAGTAATAGTATTTCTTCCCAAAAAAAAAAAAAGAACTTAAACACAATCTTGTAAAACTTTATATGCGTATGCATAAAACATATGTGATTGCTATTCCATGCCACCTTTTTTTCGTTGATAAAAATAACGTGAATCTTTTTAATTAATATCCTTATTACTATATAGGCATGGAAAAGGAAAGGGAAAGCCAAAAAGAGTTACATATTGCAATTTACCCTTCTCTACTCCCTGTTTGGCTGCGTCATCCACCTCATGAAAAACATTTGTAAATGAAATATTAATGCTCCCACACAAATCCATAATATCAAACCAAATAATCCGTAAGGTCAAAGGAACTCTCAACATCCCCCACACCATTGATAAGATTTATTGAGTCACCCTCAACGTCAATAATATTCCCCACTCCATTATTAATTATAACCTTAAGACCTGTCAATAAGGATACCAACCCCGCCTCAATTGCCCATGTATGGCAAATGAGGCCAAGGTCAGATATGTTCTAGATTACTAATCAAGCTCCTATCAAATTTTAGCTTGATAACTCCCTTTGACCACGCATTCCATCCTCCAATGATCTTCCTCTTAGATTTACCCATTTTGACTATCTCTCAGATGTTAAAATTTAAATCATATCTAGAAAGACCCCAACAATCCTCCCTCACCAAATCCAGACAAATTTAAGTCTTTGTAATTTTCCTTTTAATATTCCCTCTTCTAAAGTCACATTATCGAACGCTATTCTATTTCTTTACTTCCAAATTTGCCAAACTATTGTGGCACAGTATCGAACACCTTTCTATTCCAAGCCACTTGACCTATATGGATTGTTGGGATGTTAGTATAATTCTTAAGGGTTTTACGTAAATCATTTTGATATAAAATTTGAGATATACACACTCGTAATAGTGGCTCACATAGCAAAAATAAATTTTTTTATAAAAATTGCCAAAATACATTTACAGTTTATGATTACATTATTATCATCTGTTTTTTGTTGAAAGTATTTTTTTTTCCTTATTTTAGTAAGTGCACCCCTCTAAGAAAGTTGGCATGTCGCAAATTGTCCACTGTGAGTCATCCAGTGAAGATCAAATGCATGCAGACTAATTTTTTTATCCTGTTTTTTTCAAATTTATATTCTTTCTCACTTTGATGAATGCTACTTTCACGAATAATTTTTCATTTCCTGTTTGTTCCCATCACATTCATGAAAGTCCTAATCATCAAACAATGTAAAGTTTCAATGGTTTTGCTGATCTCGATTTGCACTACCTCCCAATTGCTTTAAGTATGTTTTGTTTTTTTGATAGTTCACCGTAGAAGGGTCCCTTGTGATAGGAATGAAACTCAATATCTCATATTGTGATGCCTCAGATCACCTGGCATTAAGTATGCCAATGTGGATATTAGAAACAACCTCTAGTCCTTAGAGTTGTTTGAAAAAAACTCATAAATCTCTAAGTCAAAACCACATTCTTATAATAATCAGGGCTGTTGATTATTTGTACCATGATAATACTTCTCTCTTCTTTTCCACGGAACTAGAACCTCATTAAACTTGTGCATCAATTTTTTCTCCCTTTTATCTGTTTAAGGAACTTAATATTTGTCCAACTTCTAAAATTTTTGGTTTGATTTTTTTCTTTTCTTTTTTAAATCACAGCTTGCTTACATATAGGGACATGCGGCTCTTCTCATCTGTACAAATTATGTACATGCTTTATTTCTGTTTTAAACAAGGAAAATGTTTATATAAGTTTGAGTCCCTAAACAATCAAACTACGGTGCACCTCAAAACTCATTAAAAGAAGATGTTTCCTTGTTGAAAAACCCTCAGATCCGATCATCTCGACCTTAAGATACATGGATGTAAAAAAATATGGACTTCAAGTCTTAGAAATAGTGCATCTTGTAATGATTTATCTATACCATTAATTTTTAAGATTTTCCAATTTTCATAGATCTGCTTGATCTACACTATTTTTCAAGCTTGAAATATTATAGTTAGAGATAAAAATGAATTTTCAAGCCATCATAAAGAATTTTTATACTAAAACGATATCTTTCAACAATATTTTAAGGTGCGCCTTACTTTGATTGTTTAGGGCCTTAGCCTTATATAACCCACACCCTTTAAAAAAAAATTGTGCATTTATTATGCTAAATACCAACTCACAGAATTTGTGTATGTATTTAATCTTTATTTTTTTCTTTAACTCCTTCCTTAGTTACTTGAAATCTACCCTGAAATAAAAAATATTCTAAATTTAGAGTAAACCTTAATCTCTCTCTCTCTCTCTCTCTCTAGAAAAGACTTCAACTCCTTAATTACTTGAAATCTACACTGAAATAAAAAATATTCTAAATTTCGAGTAAACCTTCATCTCTCTGTCTCTCTCTCTCTCTAGAAAAGACATAACAAAACAGCGATTGGCTCCAATCTTATTAACCAAAGGCCTCTCTCAAGCTTGACTTGTGCTGATTAACCTTGGGCTCCACTTTTGAATCACCACAGAGTGCTTAAAACAGATTTTTGAGTACCTAACCAGAAATGACCAGACAAAGAATGAACAATGGGTGTGTCATCCAAGGGCATGATTTTTTTTTTTTCATGCAGTTTTCAGGGGCATATTGAATATTTATTTTGATAGGTTGGTCGCTATGGGTAGGTCACATCCAAACAATTTCGGGTCCTAAAAGTACTCTTAACTAAAATTTTACCACAGGGAGAAAATGTGTGTTTTGCTTGGAGCATATACTCATTTCAGTTACTTCTTTTCTCATAAATTTTGATTTTTGAGAGACTACAGTAGAGAAAATTACAACAGCATGTAGTGTTGGGATCCATGAAAACCATCAACTAAAATCAACCTCCTAATAAAAAGAAACACAAAATGATTATATGGAACATAAGTCTAAAATCTTCATATTTGGAAATGGCTGATGAAATCTTTGTGTAGAAAGATGTAACCCCATATCCAATCCCTGATACAATGCCTTGTAGTTAATTCACTGGATTCTGTCCCAGAGAAAGTAGGCAAACACAGAAATGGACCTCTCTCTCTCTCTCCCTCTCTGTTTGCTAGCAAGCGGGAGCAAAAGAATGTCTTTCCTTTTAAATATTGTGGTGAACAGGATAGCAGAGATCAACCACATGCATAAAGCATGTTCATAAGATGCCAATGAACAAGAAATTTATAGATTGCTTCAAAACATTGTTTACACGGCAAAGAACAGAATCGATAATAGAGCTTTGAGCTCGAATCAAAATTGGCGTCCTTCCAATGGTACACCACTATGAATCATACACGAAGTAAAAAAGAGAAAAAAAAAATCAAGTACAAAGAATTATGCCCTCGTACAAACAATAGTATTTACCCTGCCAAATAAACTGAATGGTGTAGCCTCCTCTGATACTTTTTGCTCTAATGTCCAGTATACCAAGAAGAATGAATGCAATTTCTATTGAGTCAATCTTATGATATGTGATACGTAAAAGCTAGCACTTGCGCCTCCAATTGGTATTGGGAATGAGAGAGAAAGTTATTGATGATAATAACATCAAATCTGTATGTCCTTCGCGCATATACGCTCTGCAACCAAACATGCGAAGGATAAAGAGAATTAACTTTGGACTGACTTAATTGCAGAAAATTAGCGAAATTAGCAAAATAAACTCAGTTTAAATTTGGACCCAAATACTTATATAGCTACATTCCATGTGAAAAGTAATTAACATGGTGATACATTATGAATAGATATGAAGTAGAAGTCAGGGATAATCCACCAAATTGACATACATCATGAATCCTAATTTCATGCAAAGATTAGTAACTTTATTGCATCTGAGTCCCAGAGCAAACAACTAAGATCTAGTGACAAAAACACAAGTGCCACAATAGGCATTGCACATGGATGTCTCTCAGAAAAACTTACGATCAATTGTTTTACAGTTAAGATCAATTTCTAAATCTTCATTATTAAAAATTTTGACCCAAAACTATCACTAAACATCCAAGATGGCATAATTTCCCCACTCTACTGATAAACTTATTACAATTACCATATAGAAAGATAGCATTTACATTAAAACTTACAGATGTTTTCCCCATTATTATATAGCTCAAAGTTAAGATATTTTCTTTTACTTAAATTTTTCTTAATAGGAAAACATAAAATTTGAGGTTTGTGGACGTAATCCTTTACTCTTAGACCCAAAATCCAGAGGCCAATTTGCCCATTTAATGTTCATTTGGAGATATTATCTATGTTGCATAGATAATATAAGCTTAAATATTAAAATTCACGTATATTGGATTCACAAATTGGTTCAGTGACTGTTAAGTCTTTTCTCTATCAGCAAAATAAGAATGATTCAAGACATTACTCTGCAGTTCATGGAATCATATTCACATTCCTACCACAAAAACACCAGCATTTGTGAAATCAGTGGCCAAAATTACAATAATGAAAAATGAGCAAATAAAAGAGCAGAAGTGCCAAAAATGATGGTGGGAAACTTCTACAAGGAAGTGCATGAGAAGCATATCAATGCATGGCATAAAATGTGACTTATTACATATGTGACAACAGAAAACCCCAAAATATTAAATGGTACAACAGAAACAAGGAAAATTACAATGTACATTATACGAGAGAAGAGAAGTTCCTACTGAGATATTCACAAGAAAATATTATGATATTATGTAAGAGAGATCAGAGGTTCGTACTTAGATATTCATAAGCCAAAATCATAGAAGTTCCCCATGCTGACATGCTGACAAATCTCGGGCCTAACCCTCGATATAATCCTTTCCATCCATCCTCCACAATCAACCGTTTAACAATTTGCTTGGTAGTTTCTCTTTTTTCATGCCCCATCACCTGAAGAACCAAATTGAAATTTCAAGTAAACACGATCAATGGGATATAGATCCATGCCCTTACTTGCAATTAATGGGATATAAATCCATGCCCTTACTTGTAATTAACTTACCGTGCAACATCAATAACAGCGGAAAAAAGCATGAAAATGAAAGAAGAGTGGATTTTAGTGAGATACATTACCTGGAGACGAGTCTTGATGGTATCCAAAGGGGTTGTTGCACAGGATGCCACAGCGCCTGCCACAATTCCTCCGGTAGCTTGAACTAAAATAATTGTCGACTGGCTAGGAACTAGTTTCTCATGGTCATTGCCATAGCCTAAGAGCCTGCAAATGATCAATATGCGTAAAAGGAATCTTTAATAAAAATCAAAAAGAAGAAAAAGAAATGCTGCAGTTCTGACAAAGAAAACTGAGAACCGAAACACACCAACATCTAAAGGGCAAAGGTTCAAGAGCTAATCACATAATTCTAAAGAAAACTATTCCCTATATATGCTCTCTCTCTCTCTCTCTCGCTCTCTCTCTCTCTCTCTCTCTCTACAGCTTATCATATAATTCTAAAGAAAACTATTCCTATATGCTCTCTCTCTCTCACTCTCTCTCTCTCTCTCACACACACACACACCCACAGATACCCAAACACACACCATATGCGCGTGCACACACACACACATTCATACTCCCCAAATTCCATAGGCAACTCTTCGTTGCCCTTAAAAAGACCGACTTAATGGTGGGATTGAGACTCCAAACTTCGAAGATGGTCATAAAAAACCAATTGAACAATTGAAAAAATGATTTTAAGCTTATATAAACCCATATCTGACATTGCATCAAAATGACTACCTGGAATTAACTATATTTTCTCTATCATCAAAAACTATTTCTGACCATTTATTTCAATTTCTTTACATTAACATGATTCTTATAGTACCGTTCAAGGAGTCGATAAGTTAATTCTTGTGGATGTTTATTTGCTGGGTTGCGCACGTAAACCAGGAGCAATTATAGACGCAATAATGAAACTTTGTAAGAAGATATCTCGAGAAATATATGAAGATAGAGTCTAGCATGCCCACTACCTACATTGCACATAATTGTGCACCACAAATACGAGCTAATGAACAGATATGTGATACCATAGAAACACATCACAATCCTTTGCGGAAAAAAAAATGATTTGCTGATACGGAAATAAGTAGAGAGAGAGTGTGTCCTAAAAATGGCATTAAATAATGCCCCTAACATGGTTTCTTTTGGGGTGATGAAACTTGAGCATATGGAGGAAGGGGTGTATGTAAACACTCTAAGCACCAAAAGGTCAACCAAACCAACAATATTTCCACAAAAGCTATGAAACTTGATTCTAACAAAAAGTCTTGTAATTCTTCCATCAAGCAAAAGAGGTTCTCCAGATAAGTATTGAATGGAAGGATGCTACCTTGAAATTTCTCATTTTATTTATTCTCACTTTGAACTCTTAATTTATGGCAAATATGTTTGGAGATAATATTTTTAATAGGGGTGGCAATGGGTTGGATCGGGTCTCGACCCAACTCAGGTCTAAAGTTTTGGATCAGGACCTGAACCCGACCCATTGAGTCCAAAACTAGGACCCAAACCCAACCCGGTTCGGGTCCAAGTCTAGAACCTAACAAATGTTTTTGAAAAACTATTCAACACATATATATAGGGTTCGTCTAGAGTTAACAGCCCATCAAATTATAAAGGTTAATGTTAGAATGCGTTGTGATAAGTATATTTATTAAAAATCATTACTTATTATTTATTACGTAAATCAATAATTAAGTAAGAGAAAATTTGAAATTTTTACAAAAATACAATAGCATTCTGGAAGTTAGTATCCTGGAACTTTATTTATAGAGTACCTTTGTCCTATAGTAAAAATTTGAGCTTTACCCTTTATGAAGATGATAAAAGTACCCCTTGTCGTTTAGTTATATTTATACAAACACCCTTACTTGATGAGCAAGATATGACAAAAGGTAACTTTTTTTTAAAAAAAAACCACAATTAGTAAATCCACTCTTCACAACTCACTCTACTATTAACCTTTGTAATTTGAAGGGTTGTGAATTGCAGATTATCCCATATATATAAACACACAGACACACCCATACAGACACACCCACACACACCCAAATCATATATATATATGCAAATTTATCAAAATATTATATATTTTAAAAAATATTTTACATACATATCACGTGTACATATATATTTTAAGTTATATATTTTAAATGCATAAATACACATGTACGTATGTGTGTGTGTGTGTGTAAATATGTTCAGGTTGGGTCTGGTCAGGTCAACCTGGACCCGGATCCCACTCAGATCCAACTCAGGTCAAGGGTTTTGTACCTGGACCTGACTCACCGGGTCCAAAACTTGGACCCGGACACAGTCTTAGACCCAGATCGAGTCGACCTGACTCGATTGCCACCCCTAATTTTTAATGAAATTTGCTGAATACACAGTCTGTGACCTGGTTGACTTCCCTCTTTAAGGCCCGACTATGACTGTTTTAAGAAGCACAAAATCTAATCCAATGAGTATAGTATTCGGTACTCCAAAGGGCATACTTGCCCCTGACATTGGACATCACCAACCATACATTTATGAAAGTCTGAGGGGGGACCCAATTATGAGTAATCTTTATAGTCTGTCATCAGGAACAAATGGTAGATGCTTCTATAGGGTAGCATATGTGGTACTCCCACTATGGATGACTGAACAATTTTCAAAGACCAAATAACCCTATGGATGACCATGACTTCTCATAGGTCTCACATGACTAGAAAGAAATGCAGATTATTGATGACGCTTTGATAGCTCACAATTTCATTCATGCAAGGCACGGTGACAGAGTTCTGGGTGTTGCATGTAGAACAGACTTCGAAAAAGCATATAACAGGGATGATTGGGAACTGTTGGATGAAATTACGAAAGTCTTGAGATTCGGAGATCGTTGGAGGAAATGTTGGAAGGATATCTCTCTTCAGCACAATTTTCATTTTTTATTAGCAACTCTCTGAGAGGTAATTTCAGAAGCACCAGAGGTCTTGGCAAGGGGATCCATCTCCCTTTCTTGTGTTCCGATTGTTGGTGAGACCTTTACGTATGCTCGATGGAGTATACATAGCTGGTCTCCTAAACGGCTTCAATGCCTCATCAAATGGCCCACTTATCTCTCATCTACAATTTGCAGATGCCTTATTAATTTTCTATTTTTAAGTCCCTCTTATCGATCATCTAAGTTATTTATAAAAGAGATCGAGAGAATAATGAGGAATTCCCTCATCTTTTTTTAGCTGGTGGGAGGGTTGGGGGTATCACTAATTCAGAGAGGGTCTGCATGCCTAAATGGCAAAGGAGGGAATGGAATTAAGATCAAGGAAATTAACCGTTTTCTCTTCTTTTTTTTTTCTTTTTTTTTTTGAGAAATGTTGAACATTTGTATTGCTTTGAGAATGAGAGTACAAGTTGTTAAGAATAGCCCGAGAGTGCCTTACTAGACAAGACTCCTGGTAAAAAATAATAGGTCAACTGACACTATACAAAATGGGGTTATAGGTTTACCCCCTTACAAAGTATACAGTGAGTTTACAAAAAAAAGAGAGTAAAAAAGTTGCCCATTCCAGGAGACGGGTACTCCTAGTCTTCATCCTTTGTGGCCGGCCCAATGCAAAAAAATGGTATGGGCCCAGTCTTCATCGTGGGCCTTGGCTCCATCCTTGGCCAACAAATCCACGAGCCCGTTTGACGTCCTTGAGGTATGCATCCATGAGACGGGTATATCCCTTGCAAAGGTGTACAATGTCATCATAAAGAGGTGCAAGATACCATGGGGGAATAGCTTCCTTGGATGCCCAAGAAATGATGTTTTGGGCATCCCCCTCCACTACTAGGTTTTGTCCCCAAGATCGATCCAAATTTTGCAGGCCCCTGAGGAGGGCCAATGATTCGGCATACTGTGAATCTTGGATGCCAAGGTATTCAGAGTAGGTGAAGAGGATGTTGTGTTGGTGATCTCTAACAACCCCACCTGCACCTGCACCTGCATGGCTAGGGTTTCCAAAAGAGCATCCATCAAAGTCTAATTTGATTGCTCCTTGAGGGGGGGGTTTCCAGGTGCTTGAAATTTTCTTTTTCTTTGGTTTGTGTAGAAGGATACGCTCCCATTGAGTTAGGAAAGAGTTCGTTGAGATACCTTTGAACAAGTGATGGTTTGACGCCTAGAAGGTTACTAAGGATGTAACCTTGTGAAAGAGAAAAGGGGCTAGGTAGGCCTGTCCCTGAAAGATTCTGACATTTCTTTCTTTCCAGAGAATCCAAACTGTCACTGCCACTGTTGCTTTCCATAGGATTCTTCCCACTTTCGGCCAGTGTGAGGCCAAATTCAAAGCAAGTGGATCTTTGACCATTGGTGGTGTTGCCCAAAGGACACCAAACAGTTGCAGCAGTCGGCTCCAAAGATCGTGAGCCAACTCACAATGGAGAAAGAGGTGATTATTGGATTCCTCTTCGCACAAGCACTTGATGCACCTATTGGGAATTGGGATTCCTTTCTTTTGTAGGTGATCGACAGTTAGTGCCTTGTGGGAGCCTGCTATCCAATTGAATGTTTGCACCTTGGGGGGGGCTATAGTCTGCCATACCTGAGAGAGGACCGAAGTTGGATTAGGAGGGAAAATAGGGGGTTGGGTGAGTTTTTTGTAGAAGGAGGCCACGGTAAACTCCCCTGAAGGGACGAGGGACCACACCAACTTATCCCTACCTTGGATAGGAATAAAAGTACTGTGCAGTAGTGCCGACAAAGCGTTCTAAGTATGGGACAAACAAAGTGGGGTGATGATGAGCGATTATTGCACAGAATGGAAGGTCCTGGGTATTTGGAATGGTATTAATAGTGTTCGATCCAGCATCACCATAAATGTTATAATAAAAGTCAGGAATGGCAGGAAGACAAAATTTTGGTCAGATCCGTGAGAAATCAATGACCTAGGGAGCAATTTCCTGGTTTGTATGCTATTGCAAGCAAGCAGTATGCAATTGTTGCAAAAGTCATCAAAAGTGAAAGAGGGCGGGCAATCTGGTATCCAAGATGTAGACGAGATCTAAAAAAGATGAAGAAATAAGGTTTTCTAACTAGTTTCAGATGTTACAAGAGTTCTTTTTCAAGCCAAAGGGTGAAGACAGATTAAGGCAAATTCCCAGTAATATCAATGTATAAGGTGCTCCTTGGGAGCAGAGAGCAAAAGGCACAATACATAGAGTACAGACCATAACTGAACTACCTGAAACACAGGCCTTTGCTTGGCTGGTGGTCACCAACAAGATTCTAACCATTAAGCACAACAGACATGCACTGATCATTAACATATGCCTAATGTGTAATTGATGAGGAATATGTCAATCAATTGTTTTTGCTTGGCTCAGTAGCCAGGTATATCTGGTGTTTTTTGTTAAGGCAGCTCCATTTTACATGGGTACAACCTCCTTCAGTTTTTGCATCTTCGGCACAATTGTTTACTCCACGGGTAACCGAATCAGCTCTTGCCTCATGGAGGCTCACCGTGTTAGAAATGTTTTGGATAGCATTGTTGGAAAGAAACAATAGACCTCAATGATAAAAGCAGTAAAGTTATTACATCAGAAGAGCAAGGAGGGAATGGAATTAAGATCAAGGTATTGAACAAAGTGTTGTATTGGACAACAAAAGTGGAGTGATGGTGAGCGACTATTGCATAGAATGGAAGGTCCTGGGTATATGGAATGATGATTAATAGCGTTCGATCCAGCTTCACCATCAATGTTATAATAAAAGTCAGGAAGGGCACGACGACAAAATTTTGGTCAAATCCATGCGAAATCAATGACCTGGGGAGCAATTTCCTGGTTTGTATGCTATTGCAAGCAAGCAGCAAATAATTGTTGCAAACGTAGTCAAAAGTGAAAGAAGACAGACAATCTGGTCTCCAAGATGTAGAAGAGATCCAAAAGATGAAGAAATAGGGCATCTTCCAACTTGCTTCAGATCGTTACAAGAGTTCTTTTTCAAGCCAAAGGGTGAAGACAGATTAATCTGTGCACCTGTCAGAAAAGGCAAATTCTTAGTAAAATCAACATATAAGGTGCTCGCTGGCAGCAGAGAGCAGAAGGCACCATACATAGATTGTGGACTATAATTGGACCACCTGAAACACAGGCCTTCGCTCGGCTGGTGGCCTCCAACAAGATTCAAACCACTAACCACATTTGCAACAGAGGTGTGCTGATCATTAACATATGCCTAATGTGTAAGACTGATGAGGAATCTGTAAACCAGTTCTTTTTTCATTGCTCAGTGGCCAGGTATATCCCGTGTTTCATTTTACATGGTTACAACCTCCTTCAGTTTTGCATTTTACATGGGTATAACCTCCTTCAGTTCTTGCCTTAGGGAGGCTCATCTTGTTCGCAATGTTTTGTCTAGTATGGTTGGAATTAAACAACAGACCTCAATGATAAAAGCAGCAAAGTTGGCACATCACGAGAGCATGTTAAAGCCATAGCCATTGCATGGGCAAGAGCTAGAACGAGTGTGTTTAGTGCTCCTAGAGAGCAGATTTTGGGTCTCTAGGGCAAGAGATTGCGAAAGTACAGGTAGTGAGAAAGAACAAGTCCTCTAGATGGCCAGCTCCACAAGAAGGTTTTGTTATACTGAACTTTATGAGGGTTCCAGAGAACCATGGCCCTGCAGGGGAATTATTTTGACGGATCACCTAGGAAAAGTCTTGATGACATTCTCAGGACTCTTCCACAACGTGACATTCACTCGAAGCTGAGCCCTGGGCCTTATTATGTAGGCTTCGATGCATCATCAGAAATGGAAGGAACTTATTAGTAAGTGAGATTCTGCCAACATTATCACGTGGGTAAGCAAATAGGAGAGATTTTTGAAGAAATAAGGGCATGGTCTAGGCATTTGCTAATCACTTTTCTTCATACATGAAGCGAATCAAAGTATGAAGCTGATTCTCTTCCCAAAGAAGGGTATTCAAAGCGAGGCTGACAGTTACATCTCTTTGTAATACATAAACAGGTCATGGGGAGAGATCATGTAGAGACTCTTTATACAAAGACTGAGTTTGTATAGCCAAAGAGATGCGCTTGTACATCAATTTTGATATAGATGGAACTCAGTTAATAAAAATAAATAATAACAATAACAATAACAATAATAACAACAACAAAAAACAAAAAAAAATAAAAACAAAAAAAATAATGACAACAACAACGACGACAACAACAACAACAATGACAACAATAACAATAACAATAACAATAACAATAAAAATAACAATAACAATAACAATAACAATAACAATAACAATAACAATCATAATAACAATAACAATAAAAATCATAATAACAATAACAATAACAATAATAACATAATAACAGCAATATCAGATTACAATTGTATGCAACTGATACTTATGTGATGATCTACTAGAAGTTTTTCGACTCTGATGGTTGTTGCCAATGCTTTTGTGCAACGACCCATTAAATTTTCTCTTGTTGCAGAATAAGAAGAAATATTCATTGAGAACAGCAAAACCTAAGCAATTCCATCCACTTAGTTTGAACTCCTTTGACATAGTGGAGTAACAACTGGAAAAGTTCCTTAGAAGAATCAATTCCCAATCAAAATGGAGTAAAAAGGCACATTCTATTCAATTTTATGACTATTTAATCTATTGAGATTTTATGTATGGAGTACTTGCAAATAAACTATTTTGGGCTAATACTCATTGCTCAGTGGTTTTGATGTCTTATTCTTGCAAATTAGGTTGTTAATCTATATCTCACGATTACTAATCAATAAGCTGCATGAATTTCAACTCAATAATATAACAATGAATAACCTGACTATCATTTTCAAGATTTTGAAACACCATTAAAATAGAAGATCAACAAGAAACGCATAAAGGATAGAAAACCTTACATATGGCTAAGTTTCTTACAACTTATAAGAGATAAGTATTACAAAATGGTTCAGAATGGCACATACCTCCAAATGTAGCGCTGGCTTGAACCATAACTTGCCCACCACATAGCACTTGATGGGGAGTAAGTCATTACTGATAAGCCAAAACCCTTGTATAGCCCTCGAAAGCCATTAGACTTGAGAATTTTACGAGCAACATCCAGCCCCCCATTGTATTTTGTATGACCAGCATATCCTTGAACCATCAATTTTTGACTCACCTAACATTAAAAAAAAAAACCCAATAAATAAAAAATCAGATATGGAGCAGCAAAAAATGTACCATAAACCACTCTCAATATGCAGAAACCAAATAGGATCTCACTATAATGGAAGAGAAAGAAGCTTATAAATGAACTAACAACTTGGTAATCAGGATTAGTAAAGCAACCTGATGCTTTCTATCATGAATATATCTCACTAGACAGTCATGAGAAGGATAAATCTAGTCAATTCGTAGTGGAGCTAACTACTTGAAACAGAAACAACACTTATGGTGTTTTACTCTATGCTTGTTTGATAGCTGCTGATTGTAATTATGATGGATTTCTGATGTGCATATCACGTACAACACATTAAGTATTACTGTTTCTTGCAATAGAAATTACATGTGCATGTTTGAAATCGACCTAAGTGAATGAGAGATTCATATTTCCAAATATGACCAATCTAAACAGTATCTGGTTTGGTCTGTCGAGTTATTTGAGCATTTTATGTTGTACATTGCCTTTTTTGATGTGTTATTTTTTTCCCAAAAAAAGATCTCTTGTTCTTACTTAAAATGTATGTTGGTTTGTGCCTTTCTGGTAAGTGCAGTATAGACTCCTTAGAAATGAACTGTGTTTGTACTGGACATGCCTATGCACACAAAAACTCTAGGAGTTCTGATGGGACAATGAATAATAAGAATATGTGGGTTGTACGGCTCATTTTCCAGGGATTGTGGTTCAATCGGTCAAAGCACCGCCTGGTCAAGGCGCAAGCTGGAGATTAGAAGCCCATCAGTCCTGATTAGGGTGGTGCTTGATAACCATGTCAAATTATATGAAGAGCTATAGCCAAAAGAACAAATTAGAGGAAGAGCTCCCGATGGGGGCATTTGAATTGTCGAATAGATCTAAAATCATGTGAACATATGCCGATTCAATGTTGGTTCAATAATGTTTCTTCAAAAAGGAATGTTTAGTTGCAGGTAACCAATTTTATGATGCAAAACACCAATTTGAATGTTAGTTAAAGACAAAAAAAAAAACAGAACATGCTAGAACTTGTGCAAATAGTAAAAAATCAATTCCCTGCCCACAAATAAGAATCACTGAACAAGATTGACAAATTTATAAAGTTCATGAAGATTCAAATATCCCATGATGGATACTAAAAGGAGAAGCTTGAATTGAAGATTAATCAACCCACCACATCAAGTGGCACGAAAACTGCCTGAGAAAGAAGAGAAGAAGTCATGCCAGCAACACCGTTGGCTATGGCAGCCTGCATGGGTTCAGAAAGCTTGAATGGCTCAATCATTTTGAAAGCAGCAACCTTTGTAGTCTCCAAAGAAGTAAGAAAAATAATCCTTGTAGGAATTGCACCAGTTACAATGGTACCAAATCCTCGGTAGAGGCCTGGAATGCCATCCACTTTTAGGATGCTTCTAACCACCGAAAAAGCATTTCTTTCTACTGAATCTCTTGAAGCAACCTGGAGCCTCGTCTTTATCACAGATATTGGATATAAGGCAGTAGTGATCCCAGAAAAAAGGCCTGCTCCTACGACATAAAACTTGGTTTTATCAAGCCTGCAAGATCAAGTTTGAAAAAGTGAGTTTCTTGTCACACAGACAGTGGCATTGATAATCCCCATGATGGATCCAAGATGTCACAAAGGCTTACTTATCAAGACAGAATCAAAGATACAGATGGCTCTCATTAACATTTTATTCATAGGAATCTACAATGACTATACTGATTATAAAATTTCTGGAAAAAAAAAAAGTCAAACATTTAGAGTAGGATGTGGTTAGCATGCGGCCAAGCCCCCACATGTAGAAATGCGGGCTTGGCAATAAATATATTTTTGAAATATAATTTAATCCTGATTTTTGGAGAATATATAATCTTTAACATGGAGATCATGAATATGAATAAATAAATAAACATTGAAAACTAAAATAATAATTATATTAAGAAAACATTTGGACCATTAGTTACATTTGTTTTTAGATGGACCACCCTATTTGCATCCATCTTTAAGATGGATGCTTTATACCTCTGCACCGCATATTGCACAAATGTGGTCCAGTCTGCATGAAACAATTGTTCTTTAGAATATAGGGAAAAGTACACTTTAATCAAATTGGTAACAGAAAAACAACGTCCATTATGGAATGATGAACAGCAACGAAGAGAGTGGGAGCTACCAGGTGGGTCTCAACATCTCTCCATCACCATCAATCATTTCATCGGATGGTGATGATCCAATAAGCTATTATTTTGTCAATAATTTGAGTTGTAGTATATCCCCATGAAATACTACCAGAAGAGCAATTCAGATAACACAAAACATTCTGTGTGTGTGCTTAACACGAAACGTTCTGTTTGTGAGTGAGCATGCGCAAACAAATGGAAGTAGCTACATAAATGGGAGTGATTTCCTTATAAATCCGAAACAAAAAACACAATTTTCATTTCAATCTGTTCATCTTCACACAAATAAGCCATTCAATTTCTTTAGAATTAGAGAAGCTACTTAAACATAAAAAATATTAAGGGTAAACAGAACTTGAGAATGAATTAGCCTAAGAAAATACTAAAGCTTCTATTTAGGACAAGATCCTTTGATACACAAATTTTGATTGGCAATAACATTCTTACAAAGAAAATCAAAGCACAAAGTCATATTCTTAGGAACTAGGAACATGATCAATGTACAAATTACATAAGTTAGACAAGAAGTACTCAATTTCCAGAAAACTGTACCCCAGTAGCCAGGGGATTGGACTTCATCTAATTACATGAACAAGAACACATTCCTCTTGCAATTTGTTTATATTATCTTCAGTAATGCATATAAAATGGACCACTTTCTATCTTGTGTGCACACTACAAGAATCAGCAAACATCAAAATCCTTCCCCACTATCATTATAGCTATATTTAGAACATTAGCAGTCACAGTGTAGTGTTCAATTTTTTTCTTTTTCCTTTTCATAGTAGAACCAAATTTAACTAGCAAACTTACAGAAACTTTCAAAGCTTATTGTATTCTTTTTTTTTTTTTGCAACTTTGAAATAGAACTGTCCATCTTTTCCATGGAGAGAACATTTCTTACCGAAAAAGATATTAAGCCCCAAAACAAGCAAAAACTCAAGAAACCATTTGAACATGCAACCTCAAAGATCGTCATGTTCACAACCAAATTACTATTGTCCCAATTACCCCAACATTTTCAATAATCTACAATTAATTAATTAAACTATTTACAAATCACGACATATCATAAAGCCAACGATGAATGCCCAGAAATAAAATTCACAGAACTAAAAACCCCTCTTCTGGCCAATTAAAACCCAAAACTCAAAACTGTGCAACATTCTCATAATTTTTAGAGAAAGCAATTCACAAAGACAACCAATATGAATAACTAACGCATTAGCAACAAAAGTGCAACTACAAAACTGTTCAATGTTTTTGGCACCTATGGAGAGAGCTCATGAAATCACAGTAAGGAATAGGATTTTTTACCTGTCCCAGTTTATTTCCGACTGCTCGAAAGATTGTGTTCTTATCCGAGAAGAATCCATTGATGGTAAATTCTCTCTACAAAACCATCTTTCTCCACAAATTCCCAAAGACAGAAAGATTACAACACAGAAAACAAGATGGAACAATTCTGCTTCGTGAGAAAGAGAGAGAAGGGTCAAGACATTTGAGTTTGGTCAAGAAGCGATGATCTAATATTAAGGAAACAGTTTGTACAGAGCCGAGCTTCTAAACAATCAAAATTAGAGCCCACCTCAAAAATTTCACTAATGGTTTTAGGGCAAGCTTTTGAGTTTGGGTAATAAGCGAGGATCTAATATTATGGAAACAGTTTATAGAGAGCAAAGGTTCAAATCAATCAAATTAGACCCCACCTAAAAAATTTTACTAATGTTTTTAGGGCAAGCTTTCTATGCTTCCTGGGCAGCATTGGAGTTATTTAGTCCCTCTTGCCGAGTCTGAATGGAGGGTTAAGATTGTCCTAATCACAATATCACGTCTTTACATTATTTTATTTTTAATTTTTTTTCTATTTTGACATCGACATCCATTCTTTTATTAAACTCGCATTAGCGAAAAACATAAAACAATATTTTCAATAAAATAAAAAGGCCAAAATATGCATAAAAGTTTTAAAAGGTATTTTGGTCATTATACTTTATTAAAAAATTATTTTTAATTCTTTTATAGGTGCGCCCCAATGAGAAAATGGCATTTACCAAATTTCATATTCATACAATTTGTATAACAAAAACTAAAAATAAAATACTTTGAGACATCGGATCTAAGATCAAATGGTGAGTAGCTCTCTTGATCAAAATTGGACGGCTGGATAGTAGGGGGAGGGTAGAACTTCTATGATGTAAGGGAAACATAGAAACCTTTCCCATGTTTTTATCCCCAAATATAGAAAACCTTATAAATTTCACTAATATTTTTATCCCCAAATATGAAAAGCATTTATATAGAGCGAATGTTCTAATTTCATTAGAAGAGATTGTTTTGATCCCCAAATATCCATTATATCAACATAAACATATATGGACATAAAAAAAATTAGATTTTATAATTAACAATAAAAATATATTTTATGACTACGACAACAATTCCCAGTATGACTTTGATTGTTTAGAGCATCCGCTCAAATACAAACCGCATGTCTAAATCGCCCATCCTCACTCATGACCTCTCCATAAATGAAAAACTCTCAGTACAAGATCGTATATTATACTCCCACGGGAGCATACACTATAGGCTTAATCCCCCGGGCATGTCACCCATTTAGAAGATTTTGTTCGATCTAAAATTTTGGAAACCATTCATGAGATATAAAGATAAATTTTGAATTTTAAGTATCTTACAAAGGCCATTTTGGAAAAAAATTTATCGAAATTAATGGATCCATGAGATTATATGTACAAAATTTAGGGTTTTACAATTACAGCCAGATTAGATTTTACTAGAAAGAGCACACAAACAATATGCTTATATGGGAACATAAAATATTTTGGCCACTCTCCATAAAAGTCGTTGCGAATGCTGGCGGCCCCGCCCGCAAGGTTGACGCGAACGGGACATTTGACTTTGGCCGAGAATCACTATCTGTATGTCATAATATACTATATGATTATCTATTAGATTTAAATTGGAGAAAATTACATAGACAAATGTTATAGTTTTTATTATTACGATTCTACCGAATAGCTTTTGTTTTTACCACTAAGTTCGTTTTCATTATTACCACCATGTCTGATTTTTCATATCAAAACGTAAATTTAAAAAAACACGACTTTACCTTTTTAAAATTATTGAACAACCGAATGTATTTTCAATTGTTAAACTGGGCCAATTTCGGTTTTTGAATAAACGAAAAATTTTAAATTTTCGAAATTTTTTTCTCTCTTATGAGTCGCGTATCCTCTCTCTACCTCTCCGACTACATTACATGGGTAAAAATGATTTTTTTTTTAACTCTCTCTCCCCTTCACCCGGATAACTATGACTTCATAGAGTTAGAGAAAATATGCCACAAGAGAAAGAAAACATTTTTCAGTTCTTGAAAACTTGAAAATTGAAAATTTTTGGTTCTTCAACAAACGAAAATTTAGTTCTTCAAAAACCGAAATTGGTGTATTTTCGGTTGTTACTTTGAATTCGGCTGTTCAACAACCGAAATAGGGTAAAGTCGTCTTTTTTAAAAAATTTTGTTTTGACATGAAAAAAAATAGACACAGTGATAATAATGAAAACTATTCGGTAGAGCCGTAATAACGGAAACTATAATAAATATGCATGTAATTTTCCATTTAAATTATCTACTACATTATTTACTACATTTAAATTATTAATTGAAGGTTAACTACTATGAGAGAGGAAAAAAAGAAAAAGAAAAAAAAAGAGATAACTACTATGCCCGTTGAATCTCTTCACCAAAAAAGAAAGGATAACTACTCTGACTGTTGAATCTCTTCACAAAAATCGAAAGGATAACTACTATGACTGTTATAATATAGAGGGATACATGTGTGAGTTTTTTAATTCAAACTAAAAAAGGCCGGAAAAGAAAACGATAAAATAGAGATAACTATTATGATTATTGAAAGATATTATGATATAGGGGAAATGATCTATTGCAACGCTTGTAAAGTAGTATAATACAACCACACCTCTAGAAAACCATATTTTTGACATTTGTATGACCTCAAATTTTGCACACACATTCTCTTCATCCTCATAATCAATCCTACCAAGAAACAATTCAATTTGCACCCTAGATATGGTCAAAATTAGTATCCATCCAACAGTGAATCTCGACCATCCATTTGGTGAATTTCAAAATCTAGGCCTTAAAAAATTCAAAATCACTTTTTTCTATTTTAGCATTATTAATCTAATGATGATAAAGCTATATAAAATTTTAGGGAATAAAAAAATCCTTATGTAGCCTATATCTAACCATCTTAATAAAATGAACAACTTATATTAATTGAGCTGGAATGAAAACTTTCTAGAGCATTTTTTCAAAATTTTATTTTTCATGATTATTCTTCAGAATGAAAAGAGTGTACATTTAAAAAATCGTGTCAAACAAATGTCTCTAACATGGTTCTTGGAGATGGTTGCATTATACTACCATACAACCATTGCATGAAAGCATTCCCCTATGATATAGATATAAGAGATAACTATTATGACCATTTAGATCCAAACTGCCAAAAATATGACCTTTGAATGGCTGAAGTTTTTAATGGAATTCAAAAAGCAAAGTTTGGTTGTTGGAATTTTTTAATGGAATTCAACTAGCAAAGACACCTTTGAACAGTAGAGATTGATTTTGAAATAAAATATTACTCCACCTGAAATTGTTCTAAACCACCCAAATGCTCATGGTTTATCGGTGTTATAAACCACCTAAATGCTCATCAATTTGAAAAAACTGTAGCGAGAAAGCCATGTTAATCGAAATGCTCATGTTTTGCATCTGAAGATACAATTTCGTGAAAAACCCATCTTTTACTCACGGACAAAAATTTCAAACCTTAAAATAACAATATATATATAATTTTTAAAAATAATAAATGGATAATCCTACCTCTAAAATTTACACGTACCAAGGATGGATTATAAAAAATCTATAAATAAAGGATCTCTCTCTAAGTCTCCTCTCTCATAATCTCTCTCTCTCTCTCACTAAGTCTCCCTTCTCATAATATATATATATCTCTAAGTCTCCTCTCTCATAATATCAAGGGGGCACGCCCCACCTAGTTTTGCAAAGAGGGGCACACCCCACAATTCATGACATAAGGCTTAGGCCTTGGGCCACAATAGTTGTACATACTCTCATATTGTGTAAGGTCTTGCCTTAAGCTTTCCCATACTTAGAGGATTTGAGATTGACCATTGATCTCATGCGCCATTGGAGGACGAGACTCGTATGGGCGTACTAAGCCCGATTGAGGTAATTTTCGGCATCTTTATTTAATGATTTGTAATATTTCTTTTTGTGCTTTCTTTCTTATTCCCATAAGCATTGAGACACATTTTATTTATTAAATAAAGAAATATTTAGTGGTAGCAAGTAAGACCGTCTTTTTATTATTTATTTGCTTATTTCAAAAGAAAAATTGTTGTACTTGGACCATTGTAAGTGATCTAACCTGTGAAACAAAATAAAACTTAAATTCTATACATCGTGCTACATCACCTCGTCTTACTTTCGCTTATCTCCCTTTTCACATGGCTGAGCTTGAGGCATTCCTTGGTAACTTCTTGCGTATGAATTCATTGACATCCATTCCATGTCTATTCAATACTACATGTGCCCAGAACTGATAATTATGGTTAGCAACCCTCCACTTCCATTTTGTGAGAAGGGATTCATTCACCAGACACAAATGTTTGATTCCCAATCGCTTTTCTTTCTTGAGTACACACACATTTTTCCATTTAACCAAACTGTATTATTTTCTTAAAGAGACTCACTTCAGAGAAAATTCCTCATCATTCTTTTAAGAAGGTCTATAATATAAACCGATGCTTTAAGCCGTGAGAAATAATAAATTGGGAGGTCTGCTAATGTGGCTTCAATAAGAGTGATTCATCCCCAAAAACATATTTGATCTTCTATCCATCTAACTTGCGTTGAATCTTTGAATAACTGGATCCTAAGAAGATCTTGGCAATGGTCCATATGTTAGTGTCAGACTCAAATATTTTGCCGAGCAAGTTATCAATTTCATACTCCCACCATTTAGCCCAATTTCTTACTTCTTGCTATGTGCAATTAATCCCCATGATCTTTTTTTTTGTGTGTATTGACTTGGTTCCTGAGATTAGCTCATAGCACATTAAGAAAAGCCATAAGTTTCGCACCTGTTGTGTTTTTGCTTCCACTAAAAGAAGAGTGTCTTCAACAATACTGTAGATGAGTAATACTTTGGCCATTTAGAGGTAGCTTGCAATCCCTGAATGAGCAACCCCTTCAACATCTACCTGAAAGATTTAGCAACCAATGTAAACAAGAAAGGAGACAAAAGGACCCCCTTGTTGCAAACCTCGGGATGCCTTGAAGTACCCACATGCTATACCGTTGATGATTACTGAAAAATGAGTTGTGGAAAAGCATCCGTACAACCCATTTTATCCATCTAATATTGAAACCCATTAACTCCATAGTCTTGTCTAGGTAATCCCATAAGCTTTCTCGAAGCCAATCTTCAAGAGCACTCATCTCCTTCCCTATTTGTAATGGTGTATATAACTTTCTGCATAATAAGTATCATATCCATGATCTGTCTGTCTTTGATGAAGGTTGTTTGTA